GACATACAGTACAAAAAATATACATACAGACAAACACATTCAAAGTGATAGGTAACCAACCACACACAGGACATCATCACATCATCAGCACTTTGCTACCACTCGGTCTACTTGTTTAAATTACCGGCATTCAAGTATCATCAGCACTTAATTTCAATGCATCGCGCAAGTAATCTCAAAGGATATGCTCTCAATCACCCTCCAGATCAGAGAGGTTTTTACACTTTTATTTAAACATGATGAATCACAAGTGAGATGACAAGTTACAAAAGGAATTACAGGATCATCTTTTGGCTCAGAGTGAGGTGATGTATTGCTGTGTGCGGAGGGTCACCAAAATTATAATTAACAGCGCGGATTGATGTTAGTTGGGACGTCCTCCTGACGTGAAAGCTGCCATGTATATTTGTATTATGATTAAGATCTCCATCTGACACTGTAATAATAACTAAGCTATTATTTCACTTATAACCCACTGACACCCAAGGCAGTGATCCAGAACTGAGGCGCGTTGGTAGGTAAACTATGGAGTCAGAGGGTTGTGGGTTCAAACCCTCATGTTGGGACTTTGAATTTCTCTTGATGCACTGGCCGACAATCACCCAAATAAAATTGATCACTCACTTACTTCATGGGTGTTTGTGAATATAGTGGCTGCCCCGGGGGAAGTACAGGGGGGAGTTGAGGCAGAGTGCTATTAACAACGTCCAGTGAATTTAGTTCTGCTATTTTCTGAGACTGTCTGCATGCTGTTAAATATACAAATATAACAGACTTGCTGGGCAAGAGTCATACCCCGTCTGTTACTCAGGTGCTAAAAAAAGGTGAAAAGCACGGTGTAAGGTGTGATTTAATACATTGAATCCAAAATAAAAACAAGTTACACACACAAACCTGCAGCTATACACTTCGCCCACAAATATATGGTCAATTCACTTTACAGTCTATTCTGTGAAGCACTTTGAGACGTCAAGAAGACGTGAAAAGCGCTATATCAAATGCAAGGATTATTATTATTATTAGTATTGTTACAGCTGTTACCAAAAAACATCACTATTAAACAAGTTGAGGCTCTCATGTCTGATAGTTGCTGGGGGCACATTCTCAAACAAAGTAAAGTGTAGGATTTTTGGTCAATCGAGTGTTTGACATATGTGGAAACCCGTCATTATGCTTAAGACTATCCAAACCAGACTTACAGTTTCACATATGTAGGTCATCTGCACATGGAAATTTTTCCTATGTCTTTCTGGAAGGACACATCCTGCTTACCTAGTTCTGGAGAGTATTAGGCAGAGGAGCCAAAGCTTAGAGACCGCAGAGTGTGCACTGGAGTAACTGCTGGAGTTTTCACCAGCTCAAACCACATGGTTTGCCATTGAGAGAGCTGTCTGGCAAGATATCCTGCTGTTTGTCCAGCCAGGACTATCCAATTCATTAGGGCTTTGGCTTTCAGGGTTAACAGGAGCTGAGAGGGAAGAATCCCGGCTCCTAGTGTGCCGACAAGCCAGGCTGCGTGATCTGTCATCAGCAGTACTGCTAACCCGCCCGGCTCTGGAACCGGATATTGAGTCTGCCACAGTGGATTGATTCAATTCCGACATTCCATCAGTGAGCATCACCGTGGAGCCAGTTCAGTTCCTCGGAGACCCTGCTTACCTCCCTTCCCCTCCCCCACCACTCCGATGATAGTCATTAGTAGATATAGTCGAGGGTAAGAGACACTTTGGCTTTGCTGCAGTCTCCTCGGAAAGCACTTGTTGTGTAAGGTAGCCAGCGGTAGATCTAACAGAGTTTAGAAGGAATTTCTTAATGTAGAAGGTGGGAGCTGTGGTTGAAGAAAAAAGCATCAAAGTACTTAAGAGAAAACTTACAAGGGTAAAGAAGGAGTGGGGCCTTGTGTATAGTTTAAACATTGGCATGGACTAGTTGGGTCAAATAGCCTGTTTTACTCTATGTCACTCTATAAATCATTCAGATGGGAACTGGGTAAGAATATATTCAACATTGTAGGGATATGGGGGAAAGAGGTGGAGAGTGGGATTAATAAAAAGGATAGGGTAAAAAATCGAGAGGTGGCAGCACCTAACAATTTTGACGCTCTATGAATCGTTTTATGAACTGTCCCATATCTGACCCCACTGATTACTAGTCTGTGTTGTTTTTTTGTTCACTTGATGTTTTTAATGTGCCTGATTGCCGCGTGCCGGGATTTCTTTTAATTGGAACAGACAGGACCGCTCTCTGCTGCTTGTAGACTGACCTACATTAGTCCCATCTGATCAAATATGGGATGTTTGATACAAATCTAAACAAGTGATGCTGATATATCATATTTGGACTGACATACTGCCTGTGATTTCCCAAACACCCCCTTCTCCGATCTGCACCCTCCCCCCACCCCCCACTCCTTGGTGACGGTCACCAGGGCTCAGGGATTGAGCTGACAACGGGATTGATCAATCAGGATAAAATATTGTTTATGTGGCCCTCGGACATTTCTCAAATCCAGCATTTGGCTCTCAGCAGTCAAAAGGTTGGACGATTGGGCCACTTTGGCTTTGATGATGGATCTTCGTAGGTTTTAGAGTCGTGCCTTCAGCTTGACTCTTCACCTCAGGTTCCACGTTACAGTCCCCACGGACTGTATGACCCTGGGCTCAACTCAGATCAACACTCCACCGATGTAAGTGGTCACATCTCTCACAACTGTAGTACTACACATCAGCTTGAGTAGGACAAATACTTCTTACTGCTTACCACCATTTCTGTCATTATTTTAGTCCATTCAGCTCTCTTGCATTTACTTGACCTGGCCAACTGGTTTTGGAGGTTGATTGATAATGATTTGTTTGGAATCAATGCTAAATTTGATAGGTAATTACTGTCTCGTGCTGTGACTTTATTTGTTGGCAAACATAACAGCTTACCCAGCATGTATTGCTGAACAGGAATTATTTGCATGGGTGCGGGAGGGTAAAAAGCAGGTAAATGAGACTGAATGGATTGCTCTTTCAAAGAACCACCACAGACACAATGTGGGACAAATGGCCTTCTTCTGTGCTGTACATTTCTGTGCTTCTCTGGGTAATGCTCAGAAGTGAAGTCTTTCAGATAAGACCTTAAGCTGAGGTCCCACCTGTCTGTTTAGGTGGATGTTAAAGATCTCATGTCACTACTGTAAAGCAGAAGGGAGTTTCTCCCGGTGTCCTGGCTAACAACTTCCCCGACCCCCCCCCCCCCCCCACCACCTCCATCACAACCACACACATTATTTAGTGATTTATCTATGATTAATTCAGGAGGAATAGGGCGATTCAAATAGCTGCTATGTTTGCCTACAAATAAGTCATTGTATGATACAGTAATTGCTGTGAAGTACTTTGAGGTGTTTTTGACGTTACAAGCATTACAAAAATAAAATTTATTTGTTTCCCAACCTCCCTCCTTCCCTCCCTCTCATTTTAGCACCAGCGCTTTCACAATTTGATTGTAAAGGAAAACATGAAGCAACGTCAACATGTTGGAAATACTGACTTTTCTTTTTATTTACCGGTAAGTCAGCTCTTACACTGAAACCCTAAAGACATCCATTACATTATTAACTTTGAACAATATCTCAATATGTTCCAAAAAAAATCGTCATCGATACTGTACACAGACAGTTGGACCTATCACAATAATTTAGTTAAAAATGTCTTCTTCCTAGTAAATGCAGGAACATCAATTAAAATACAGTACATAGTTTATCACACAACTTGGGTACAGTGGATTGCTCTGTGGCTCACATTTATGAATGATGGTTGGGGTGAAGGGTGTACGATAGCTATATACATGCACTAAAGTGCTAATGGACCCAATGGCATGCAAGTCAAGTATTGTACCATCATTCAGCTATCATATTAAGACTGTCCGCATCCCTTTTGCTGTTCATTGTTTCCCTTTCGCTTCAGCAAAAGAGAACTGAAAGAGTCTATACAATATACAACATGGCCTCGCTGCCAGACCTCCTAGAGAACGCATTGCCTTCCGCACGGCTCTGCCATGGGGGTTCTCTGTGACAGCGAAGAAAAGGCAACGCTTCGGTTGATATGAAAGCACTTCGCAAAAAGGAGTCACGCAGGCATTGAAGGCAGAACAAAAAAAGTCAGCGTTGTATAAAATAATATTATCGTGACTATTTTACATGGAAAAACAAGATGGCGTGAATGTAACCAAATATAAAAAAGGGCGCCCAACATTACTGAGAGACCACTCCCGTCCTTTCAGAACTCCCAAACAAAATTTATCCTCCCCTCCCTTACCCACGCTCCCTCCCCACCCATGTTATTTACAGCCAAATATGCACTACCAGCCTATATGCGTGTACATCCGTAATAGTTATCAGCATGGAAACGACCGAGCAAGAAAAGGAATTTATGAAATTATTGATATAAGGCTAAACATTTTATTTGCAGGAAAGTAATCTCTTTCATCCCCCCAACACCCCCCCATCTTTCACCTTCACCCATCTTGAGGTGTTCAGTTTGATCCAAAACAGGCGAGACTCACCCTAACTCTACCTGATGGACTAACTGACAGACAGCCCTGGAGCCTAATCCTGTGATCACCTTATAGGGAATTCAGTGATGTAACCAACAACAATTTGCACTTATATTGTGCTCCTCATGCAGGATAGGGACCCAGAGAGCTTGACAGTGGCAGAGCACAACACCGAGCTAAGGGATGGGGAGGTGAACGCGGCTCGGTCGAAGAGAAAGGTCTTCAGGTGTGACTTGAACATGGAGAAGGAAGGAGGAAGATGGAGGGATAGAGGAAGAGTGCTCCAGAGTTTTGGGGCATAGTGGCTGAAAATACGGCCACAGATGGTGGAATGGAGGGCACGAGCAGAGGGCAGGAGTCAGATGAGCGGAGGCAGCATGTTATGAGTTGGGGGATAAGCAGGTTGGAGAGGTAAGGAGGTGCCGGGGCATGAGGAATTTGAAAACAAGTGTGAGCATCTTGAAATCGATCTGTTTGGCGATAGGGAGCCAATGGTGTGATGGGGTAACCACCTGGCTTGTTACCACCAGGAGGCTTTAGGGCAGGGGGTGGGGAAGGAATAACACATTTCAGGAAGTATAATGTGATCTCTTACTTCTGTGTAAAATCTCTGTCAGCCACATAATGGTGTCTGACATGAAAGGCGCTTTATAAATGTAACTTGTTGTTGTTGAACAGGGGCCCTGGACAGTCTGTACATGTATAATGTAATGTCACTTTGCCAACTCTCCATGTATGACTAAATATGATACAAGACCCAAAATAATTGTTTTAGAAGCAAAGACTCCATTTCTACAGGCACATTAAACGGGTGGTCTCGGTCCATAACACAGACACAATCAAAGTTTCACACGTTTTGACACACAGAAGTTATCGTGGTGCAGGTGTGAAGAGCCTTTTGTAGGAGATTAAGTCAAATGTTTATTACCTTGTGTTCACAGTCATCCAATTGTGTTTGCACAGTGTACTGACACTCATCCGATAGTGTTCAACAATGCACTCACACTCATCCAACCGTGTTTACATAATGCGGTCATACTCACTCAATAGTGTTTGACAATATGTTCACACTCATCTATTTGACCCTTGATAAACACAAAGCAGTCTCTGTGTTTGACCTGTTAAAACCTGTGACTGGGAACCTACTGGCTTGACACTGGCCTCTCTGTGGGCTTCCTGGGACCTTGTGTTGTGATGTGAATTCCTTCCCACGTACATCATGCAGACTCCTGCCCAGGGTCGAGGTCGGCTTCTGTGGTTGTCGACCCATTAGTTTCTGGCTGTTGGACGGTAACCAAGTCCCCAGAGGATGAAGGGCGTGAGGCAGAGGGTGAACGTGATGCCCATCGGGATGGCGGGCGCCGGGCTGGCCTGGCTGGGCGTGAGAAGCGGGGTTCGAGTGGCGGAGGCCAGGGGAGGTCCTTTCAAAACAGCAAACAGAAAGCACACAGTGAACGAGGGCGATTCGTAGACACGGCGACAGAAGCGAAGAGCATAAAAAAAACACGTGGAAAAATCCTAGCTCTCCTCCGACCCACCAATAGCACCTTAACTGAGCGTTTTCATCATCACTTTTACTCCAAATTCCCGTTATCACTTTACAAAGAACAAAAGGAACGTGAGCTGAACTTTCGTTGCTACCACTTGCTAACTCCATTCCTCCCTGCCGGGAGCAGGGGTTGAGGCCGAATCCATGTTAGGTTTCAAAGGGGAAGCAGAGATATCTAAACAGGAGTAAACTACAACAATAACTTGCACTTATAAAGCACCTTCCACGCAGGCTCAAGCCCCAGAGCCCTGGAGCTATAGGAGTATGGGGGAAAGGTATAGGTAAATGGGAATTAAAGGATTGCTCTTAAAAAAAGGTCCAGCACAGACGCGATGGGCTGAATGTCCTTCATAAGTGTCGTGAATTTCTATGATTCTGCTATAAGTTTTACCCGTGATAGTTGGCTTAGAAGAAACCTAGGTTCCTACCTCCTTTGAGGGTAATCCTATCTGGGCACAGATACCCAGTGAAAGCAATCACTTCCCAGTCACTCTTACTAAATTCCTCTTTGAAGCCCCAAGCGTTCCCAGAACATCTTGTCTCAAACCCCCGCAACACTCACTGTGCTCTTGCTGCACTTGTCAGCTTTCGCTGAGAGCTAATGACCCTTTTAAGGAAATCCCATATGCTCTGTGCCCAAACACACGCTTTTTGCAAGATAAAACCGCTGTATGAGGGATTAAAAGACTGTGGTTATCAGTCGGTGTGTATAACACTGACAGGTATTAAATGTGCCTTTTTTCAATGTGCGATGGTGAGGAAAAAATAAAATTAAACCTGATTCCAAGTGAGCACGACCACAACACAAAGCTCCCCCTTGTAATGTCAATGGCAATGTTTTTAAAACCATTTTGTTTGGTTAGCTGGATGTCTGACACATACAGAAACCCCACACTGATGGTTAAGAGTATTCAAATCAGAATGAAAGCTCCACATACGTGCACCACCTATTCATGGAAATTTCCCAATGTCTGGAGCGAGCCAAGGCTTGAGGACCCCAGCGTGTGTGTTAATAATAATAATGCTTGCATTTGATATAGCGCCTTATCAGATCTTCGAGACAGCTCAAAGTGCTTCACAGAATATACTGTAAAGTGAATTGACTATATAATTGTGGGCAAAACGTGGCAGCCAATTGCACACAGCAGTGTCCCACAAACAGTCATGGATTGAAGTGAGCAATTTGTTATTTTTTTTTCGTGAGGGATTATTATCAGGCGTGTGGAATAAGGAAACTTGCCCAAGGTTTCGCCTGCCGGGAATCAAACCCAGTTCTCTCACTTGCGAGGTGAGTACTCTAGCCACTGAGCTACAGGACTCCACCAGGATTATGCTAAATTTGATTTGATCACATCAGCTCAGTGGACCTCAAATGTTTTTTTCCAGTTCTATACATTGCCAGGATTATGAAAGAACATAAACGCGCTCCAGGATCTTAACTTTTTTCTAACATGTTCTTTTTTTAAAAAAAAAACTATTCCTGTGAGAAAAGTCTAACTAGAAATTGCTCCATTGCAATTTCTCTTGTCCAGACTGAGGAAGAACGGGTGATAAGTTCTGAACTGCATCTCAAGTACAATAACAGTGTTGGGGTACTGCTGGGGTTTAACCAGCTAACACGACATAGCTTGTCATTGAGAGAACTGTCTGTCCAGTTAGGACCACCCTACCTGTTCAGAGTTTGGGTTGTAATGTTAGCAGGAGCGTAGTAGGGAGAATCCCTGCCCTTCTCCTCTGACCGTCAATGACAACGACAAGTGTGAATCTCTTCCGTTGTGTATCCGCTCCCATTATTGCAACTGAGACCGGATCAACAGAACCACTGGATCAATAGAAACATTCAAAAGGGAACCGAATAAGCACCTGAGCAGTGCAAACATTAAAAGATGTGGGAAAAGAGCTGGAAAGTGGGATTAACAATAAGAGGGAAAATAGGGAGCAGTGGCACAGATACAATCGGTCAATTGGCCTCACTCTGGGCTGAGATTTCCAGAGCTGACTATCTTTTGATTTGCGCCCCCCCCCCCCCACCCCAGTGCCGTTGGCTGGATATCGCATTCAGGGAACTCCCTCCGCAGTGGCTTGTCTACTTGTCTTATTAGATCTACACCCGTCTCCTGGGCCTGAGTCAACTCATCTGATCCTCTCCATGTCCCTTTTCTTTTCCAGTAAGGCACCCCTTGAGGCGTGCAAGGATTCACTTCCAATTACAGTACAACTCATCACAGATTCTATACCCTGAAAGGTTCTTTGTGGTACAAGTGGGAAGAGTGGCTGTCATCAAGGGTCACTGCAGCAATGCACATATTGACTCAGCGTGAATGGATGTCACTGCACAATCTCACTCAGAGGATGATAGGGAGGGAAATGGAAGCGTTCTCCAAACATCCCAATGCAGTCGGGTCCCTTCTTCAAAGCTCGAGTCCAAGGCACAGACAGACGTGTTGCTGAGGGAACAATTTACATACCGCACACAAGGTCTGAAATTTCTCCTGGTCTTAACACCACTGTTTTAAAATCTAAGACAGTAATACTGATAATAATCCTTACATTTGACATCCCACCTTTCACATCAGGAAGAGGTCTCAAAGCGCTTTACAGTATATACTAAACTATAAAGTACTATCAAGTACAGTAACTATGTATTTTGTAGGCGTACCCGGCAGCTAATTTGCACAGTGCAATGCTTCACTAACAGCCGTGAAGTGAATGACCAATTTTATCTGGGGGATTGCTGGCCTGGATACTGGGAAAATCCACTAGATGCATGATGGAGACGGGCCATGCACATTTGAGATCAATGACAGGTCCTTTTAACCAGGGCAGACTGAGTCGCATCTTTCTGGGGATGATTCAGTTCCAGGTCCCAGAGTCATGTTCTTAATATTTTAACGCAGTGAACCACCAAACCATCTCCTTCATTCCAATTTCATCCCTGGTCATCATTCAAACACAATTCTTATGAAATCCTACAACCTGCTTTCTTTGCTTGTCTTTCATGCTGACAGATATCCAGACTGAGTGATTGCACCTTTAAACTGAACCCCCAAATCACCTCCAATTCATTAAACTGATCCAGCAGTTCAAACATTCGGTTGGAAAGGAGGAACAAAAGAACTTACAGCAGTGAGGCAGGCAGGGTTAGTGTCCCCAAGGGGTGGTTAGTAAGAGAGTTTGGTTCTGGGCAGAACAGACAGGAAAGAGAAAAGAAGACAGGTTGGAAAGAGAAAAGAGTTAAGTGTACACATCAAACAGTTGTGTTTAACCAAGGGACAGGTTGTAAGGACCATGTTCCTGCAGGCTGTAGGGAGCAGTATTACAGGAAATACTGCAGATAAACCAGTCACATATCAACATCAACATGCAATGTGTCCAGGTAAACAAACGTACCCCAGTTATTGAGTCAGTCACAGAGACAGAACTCTGTGACTGGAGCAGCTTTTGTTGTGGGCCATTTGCAATTCTATTGTGGTGTGTGCCAAGCAGTCACTGACTCAATTCAATTGACGCAGGAAACATTGAGTTTAGCCAATGTTAGGTTCAATTGTATTGCATACAAATGGGTTAGTTATGATTGGGTTAGTTATGGTTGGTTATGGTTCGGTAATTAAAGTTGGGTTAGTTATGATTGAGTGAAGCATCATTGGCTTTAACACGTTTCCTAGTGGCCACTGCCTAGCTTGATCCACAGAGCTATGAATGATGTGAAGATGCTAAAGTATTTAGGATGTCTAAAGCCTCTGCTAACTGTGTACCTATATGGTAACCTCTATGTGTGAGTAACTCCCGTGGTAACTCAAGGGGAAATCAAACCCCTTGACCAGCAAGTGCATTGAATGCAAAGCACTGTATCAATTTACCCAACAGGAAATGTGTTAAATTAGAAATAAAACTAGAAATAACTGACAGCATTGGTTAGATATGAGATGGAGAGCATACATCGACAGATGGGGCGATACATTTGAAAGCTTTTCACATCTTTGTCACTTTGGGCAGATGAGGAAAAGTGGAGGAATAAAATAAAGGAAATTGTAGCCTTGACGAGGTTAAAATACAGTTACAGTAAGGGTTTAATCATGCCTTGTGTGTGTGCGGAAGTTGGTGGGGGATTCTTTTGTCCAAAGTAATCTGTGTAATCTGTGCTAAGGAAAAGGATGGGCTCATTTCCTGTGATATGGTGGCAGCTACACAGATTAACTGCAGATTCATTAAACTTGGTTCCAGAAGCACCAGTAAAGCCACTAAACTTTTACTCAGAGTTGACATGCACGATACTGTGCGTTGAGCAATGTGATGCTCCATCGCAAACAGCTCTCTGCAGCCTAGGGGAAGTGGCACCTTTAGCCAGTGGCTATTGGGAGAGCAGGGATTCCCATTCCATGTCTATGCTGGTGGAGAGTTCAGGCTCACAGAGGTCAGAGCTAACAGCTGCGGAGGAGACATGGTTCCAGAGAGGCTTGACACCTCATGCCATCTTCAGCTTTGCTGCCTAGGTTATATTAAAGGATATATCACCAGGGAGCAAGGTATATGCGAGGATAATCAATGATAATAATCCTTGCACTGCGTACAACATCTCATTTTCCCTCTTGTAAACGTGTCAAAACTCTCTACAAAGGTCTATGGATAATCTGCATATGGCAGACAGGACAAATGGGCAGCCAGGCTCAACACTCGCTGACGTTCACTCTATCTCCCCCGCACCATCCCCCCTCCATCTCGTGCTGGTTCCGTCCTCTTCTACAATCAGCTGTGCCACCCGGCTTTACTGGAATAAAAGTTTGAGCGGTGCGCACGGTGAGCGATGGGTGGATAAAGAGCACAGGCAGGAATGCAGCGGAGAGTTTGAGAGATGACAGGACCCAGCCAAGCAACATGTTCAAGTCACAATCGAGAACGCGATGACCTGCAGCCCGTTTGATGTGCTAGGTATTCCGTGGCCTGCAAGTGTGACCCCACCACCATAGTTGCCGCAACATTGCAGATGGTAATGTGAGATATGGAATTTGTGGAAGGTGGATGTGGAACCTTTACATATGGTGCCCAATACCCATGGATGCACATGGTACACTTTACACACACGTTTATACATGGTGCATAATACCCAATGTATTTGCACTTGATACAAATTACACACACATTTACACACGGGACACAATACCATGTGTTTCACGTGGCGCATAATACCAATTATGCTTATATATTACACATACTTTTACAAATGGGTGCATAATACCACTGCATTTACACATGCCATACAGCAGACGCCCCCCTCCCACTGTCCGAACGGGACATATATAAGAAGGCACAACCTGTAAAACCAAATCCCGCACACACTCACTCACCCACACACTCATGTACCACTTATTCACTCACGCAAGCAGCATGTGCCCCACTCACTCACTCACCCACCCACCCACTTAGGCACAGTGACAGTTGACCAAGGCTAAGCTGCGTTTGCAGTAGCCAATCATGGTGCTCAGACAGACCTTCTCCTCTCCTCCGCCAGTCATTGGGACTGGATTCTCCAGCTAACCCTGAGCACTCATTGGACACCAAGGTTTTGCTGGTCCGTTGAGTTACAAACAAATCTGGCCCTTCCTCCCCCCCACCCCTTAGAAAATTCCTCACGGTCTTAATCGTTTTAAAATTTAAGGTTGTGCAAAAAAAGTCACAAGGTCATGAATTGCTCCTTCATTTGGAAGCCTCTGCTCTGCAGTTCAGTTCCTGGTGGGCTTTTATTTTGGGGTGGGGGTGTAGGGAGCAAACCATAGAGGGTTTTAAAGGTGAAAAAACACTTGACCCTTTACTTTGCTTTGCACACAGCCTCGCCACTTGCAATCTCTCCCAGAACGATCATAAAAGGGGCAAAGAAAGCAAGCTCACCTCCAAGGAAGCAGGGGAAGCTTGGTCTGTGTCTCCTGACTCGGAGTCCTGGTCGGTCAGCACTCTCTGGAGTTTGTGGTCCTCGCCGTAAACCTGCTCAAGCAGACGCCTGTTCAAGAGCCTGGCGGGACTGCCTGCCAGGTGGTACCCGGGAGACAGGCACAGTTCCTGCTTCACCACGAGCACTTCCCCGTCCGAGTCCCTCTCGGACTCCGTGCTGGCACACACCGGGCTGGGGGATCGGCCCCGCATGCTCTTCAGGAACTCCTGGACCGCCCCGAAGCTGGAGTGTGGCTCAGGAGGCTTGGGCAGCCTGACCGGGGGTCTGGGCAGTCTCTGAGCCGCTTCGCAGGCCACTGGCGTGTGGTCGATGATGTTGAAGAGGCTGGAGAGGCCGTCGTTGATGGTGGTGTGGACCGGGCTGTCGCGGGTGGTGGTGGACCTGGCCCAGGCCGACTCGTTGAAGCCCTTCTGCGGAAGGGCGGGGGCGGGAGGCGGGCCTCGCTCCTTGGGACCCTCGGGCTTGGCAGATGCCTTCCTCTGCAGCTTGGGGGAGCCGTACTTGGGAGAGCAGCAGACCCGCTCGAACTTGGCTTGCATCTTCTCCACAGCGGGGGCCACCTGCTTGTTGCGGAAGCTGCGGGAGGGGGAGGAGACGGGGGTGGAGCCCCCCCTGGGTGTCAGGCACTTGTGGGGGCTGCTGGCCAGGCACCGGGCGGTGTCTGTCTGCAGCCCGATGCTGACCAAGCGGGTGGTCTGTGTGCCGGCGTTGGAGACCCCGTTTGTCTGACAGCCGATGTCCTTAGACTGTCGCTCGGCCGAGCTTGAGCGCATCCGGCTCATGACGGAGTGAGCCACCTCCTTCATGTCATCGCTCATGTTGCCTGATATGTTGAGGCCCTGCAGGGAGGAGGCGAAGCCCACGGTGGCGCAGACGGGATGCTCTGGGGGCCGCAGCCCACCCTCCAGCACCTCCCTGCTCGGTTCGCAAGTCCACCTGCCGAACACCTCCTGTGCCGGCCCCCCCTTCGGTTCCACGCCGTTCCCTATCGGCACCACCGTGGCAAAGGCAAAGTCCGAGTCCAGTGACTTGATCCCGCTGTCGCTGCGGAGGACGGGCGGGCTGTGGTAAAGTCGGACCCCCGCCATGTCCGGGACTGGAACCGGGACCACCCTCTGCGACGGCTGCGGCTTCTGAGGGCCGGCGATCTCCGAGCTGGTCACGGTGCTGGTTGTCATGGTGACGCTGGTGGTGAGGTACCACGAGGTAGCTTGTAATGGGTCCAGAGTTAGCGCACTGACCTCTCGCACTCTCTTGCTCTCGCTCTTCTGTACCCAGGCTTCCCCCGGCCTCTCCCGGTCCGCGTACTCCCAGCTCTTCCTGCTGAACTCTTCGATATACTTGAGGTCGTCTGGAGAAAGCGGGGGAGTGGGATCCTCCCTGGGGAAGCACATCCGGGGTTTGGGATCGCCCGGCGACGTCTTCTCTGGCAGGAACGGGGAGCTGTTCATCAGGCGCTGGAAATCTGACATGGAGGAGACTGACTTTGCCCTGCCACAAGCAGAGAGAGAGGGGGAGAGAGAGAGAGACAGAGAAAACAAAAGAAGTAAGGAATAAATGAATAAGAATGACAATAACAACAAACAACAAATACATTCATGTTTACATTGCGGCTTTCATGTCGGGAGGACTTCCCTAGTGACTGGATAGCCGAGCTGGGCGGAAGAACATAGAATATAAGAACATAGGAATTAGGAGCAGGAGTAGGCCATTCAATAAGATCATGGCTGATCTTCTAACCTAACTCCATCTGCCCACCTTATCCCCATATCCCTTAATCCCTCTATCCTTTAGAAATCTATCAATCTCAGTCTTGAATGTGTTCAAGAACTGAGCATCTGCAGCCTTCTGGGGTAGAGAATTCCATAAATTCACAGCCCTTTGAGTGAAGAAGTGTTTCCTCAACTCGGTTCAAAATAGCTGTCCCTTCATCTTAAGACTGTGACCCCTAGTTATAGATTCTCCTACCAGCGGAAACAGTCTCACACTGTCTACTCTGTCAAGCCCCATAAGAATCTTATATGTTTCTGTAAGATCACCTCTAATTCTTCTATATTCTAGAGAATATAGGCCTAGTTTATTCAACCTATCCTCATGGGTCAAACCCCTTATCCCAGGAACTAACCTAGTGAATCTATGCTGCACCCCCTCTAAGGCGAGTATGTCCTTTCTTAAACAAGGAGACCAAAACTGCACATAATATTCTAGGTGTGGTCTCACCAAAGCCTTATACACTTGCAGCAAGACTTCCCTACTCTTGTATTCTAACCCTTTTGCAATAAACGCCAATATGCCATTAGCCTTCCTAGTTGCTTGCTGTACCTGCATGCTAACTTTTTGTGACTGGTGTGCAAGGACACCCAAATCCCTCTGAACACTAACACTATCTAGTCTCTCCCCTTCCAGAAAATAATCTGTTTTTCTGTTTTTACTACCTTGGTGAATAACTTCACACTTCCCCACATTATATTCCATTTGCCACCTTCTTGCCCACTCCCCTTGCCTATCTATATCCCTTTGCAATCTTTTTGTGTCATCCTCAGAGCTTACTCTCCCACCTAGCTTAGTATCATCCTCGAATTTAGATATTTTAAGTTCTATGTCCTCGTCTAGATCATTGATATAGATTGTAAATAGTTGAGGCCCAAGCACTGATCCTTGTGGCACTCCACTAGTCACATCCCGCCAATCTGAGAAGGACCCGCTTATCCCAAGAACTGAAGAAAGAAAGAATAAAGGAAGGTAGAAAGAAAGAAAGAACAAACAAACAAACAAACAAACGAACGAACGAAGAAACAAACGAAAGAAAGAAATACCTTTACTAATAGTAATCCCGGTTAAGCGCTGCTCTGAGCAGTAGGAGGTGTTAATAGCATGCGACAAAGGCCCGATTTTGTACCTTTGAAGATTTGCCTTACACGCATCTTCCTTATCAAACCTCGAAACGTCCTTGGCCACGCAAATTTCATTCAGAGCCTGTGAGAACAAAGTTACACTTAAGGTCTCCGGTGTTGTGCACAGAACTAATACTCTAGAAGCTGAGTTTGAATCATTATACAGTTGGACCACCCCTATATTGGGGTAGTTTGAGTTGCCATAAAAATTACGACAGACTTTTCTAATGATCTAAAATGGCCAGTTTTATGTGGTGCACGGATGGACTAACCTCGTAGGTGCCGGTTGTAAATTTCTCCCTCTCCAGGCTGCAGGAGTCGGAGGCAGAGCCGGAAGCCTCACTGAGCGAGTCGAGTGACAGTGCGTCCAGGAACAGGCTGGGGGCAGTCCGGCACCTCTCGCCCTCCCTCAGAGCCGGCACTGCTGAGCGACGCTCCCCGAATCCCCGCTCTGGAAAGGCATCGCGGCCCTGCGAATGGCCCCCGGGGAACCACTCTTGCTCCGAGAGGTCTGGGGATGGCTCCCGGAGGTCAGCGAAGGGCCTGTCTCCACTCTGGGGCTGGGCTTCCTTCTGAAGCTGCGGTGGGGAAACAGAAGGTTTCTATAATAATAATAATCCTCGCATTTGATATAGCGCCTTATCACGTCTTCAAGACGTCTCCAAGCACTTCACACAATATACTGTAAAACGAATTGACTGTATATTTGTGGATGAAATGTGGCAGCCAATTGCGCTCAGCAGTGCTCCACGAACAGTCGTGGATTGAAGTGACTATTTTAAGGGAATATTACCTCCGGAAAAGCCATCCGCCAATCTACTAACAATTGGGTTCCTGCTTACTGCTAGGTAAACAGGGGTGTGTGGAGTAAGGAAACAGGCCTAAGGTTTTGCCCTACCCGGGAATCGAACCCAGGTCCTCTCGCTTTCGAGTTGAGTGCTCTAACCACTAAGCTACAGGACTCCACAAGGTAATAAACTGACAGAACAGGCTTGATGGGTTGAGTGGCCTACTCGTATGCCTCACTGATCATTGACCCTGCAGTGCCAGGAGCTGCATGTTATGAGCTGACCTTTCACTCACATAGGATATGAGTCAACAGTCAATCAGTACAGTAAAGACAGTCTGATTGGAGTCAGGATGCTTGTCCTGAGAATGTTCAAATGAATTAAACCACAACCAGCATTTGAAAAGAGAAGCGATTTTCTCTCCCGTTGTCCTGGCCACGAGACCCTAGATAGAACTAGTATAACTAGAACTAGAACTCACTTCATAGCTGTTTGCGGATATTGTTGCACGCAAATTGGCTGCCACCTTCGTTTGCAAAATACGGTCACTACATTTCACAGTAAATCCTGTGAAGTGCTTAGAGACTCTCTCCTGACATGAAAGGCACTGTATCAAATGTAAGGAATATTATTTATTATGAATGTTTAATACAGTAACAAGATAAATCGGACAAGGAAAGAAAAAGGGCTTGACAGGCTCAGAGATACACCCAGGCTTACTACAGAAGAGAATTGGATGTTTTGCATTGTGGTCAAACGCCATGAGGAAGAACGTGATTCATCCCATTGCCTCATGGCAGTGATATGCTGACCGCAGTTACAATGGGCAGATCACAGCAGATGTTCGAGTGAAGAAAGGGCCTTCAGCCCGTCTGATCTCATCCTTACAGCTATTTACTACCTTCTGGGTAACAAAATACAGTGTGCCAATCCAGGCCTGCTTCATGTCTCTCGCCTGCTCTGGAAGATCACAAGATTGGTTGGGATAAGGAAGGCCCTTTGGCTCCTTTGTCCTCATCCCTCTGGAATATGCATCCTCCCAGTCCCACTTCACAGCATCAAGCTACTTTTTAAATATATACCCCACCACTGTAAGGCAAGCTTTCAGCCATTTTGCCCCTGCTGTTTTGATAGTCCTTTCCTAAATCCCTCCGTCTCAAACCCACCCATTTGCTCTCTTTTAAGCCCTGTCTATAAACAACAACTTGCATTTATATAGCGCCCTCCATGCTGGGCGGCGTTCCAGAGCACTTAACAATGGCGGACCCCAATGCCAAGCCAGGGGCAGGGGGAATGTGACCATAGGCACGGTCGAAGAGGAAGGTTTTCAGGCACGCTCTGAAAATGGGTAAAGAGCGGGCAAGAGACGAAGGGATTGAGGGAGGGAGTTCCATAGCTTTGGGGCTTAGTGGCTGAAGGCACGGCCTCCGATAGTGGAGCGATGGATTTGCGGGACAAGGTAAAAAACCTACATCTTTGATTGTGTCTTGGGACACTTCCCTTGCCCCCACCCCCACCACCCCCATACTTTTACATTTCCCTTCACAAATAATTGTCCAATTCCTTTAAAAAGGCTTTTTGAAAGGCTTCAAATCCCTCCACTCCTCTGTACCCCCCTACCTCTCTGACCTCCTCTCTCCTCACACCAGTGCCTGTTGCCTTCGCTCCACCGGGTCTGGCCTCCTCCTTGTCCGCTGAGTCCTCCACTCCACCATTGGCAAGCCATGCCTTCAGCTACTACACCACGAGGCTCCTGAACTCCCTTCCTCCATCCCTTCGCCTCGCCCCGTCTTCCTATTTTCAGGTCTCGGCTGAAGATATTTCTATTCGACCCTTTGGTCACCTTCCTCCCCCTCCCCCTAGCTCGGCCCCGGGATCCGTTACTGTGAAGCGCTCTGAGATACCGTCTTTTACTTCTGTTTCAACCAGTGTTTTGGTTGGACATTTCATGTCCTACTAACCCTCTGTGTACCTCCCCCCCCACCCTCCCCACTCCCCACATTCTCCTAACCTCTCCCTTTGTGTGTTTCGGCGATGAATTGTAAACTGACGCTCTCTGGTTACTGACTCGCCGACCGCAGTGTGGTGGAAATTCTTCTGACATTTCGTCATCCTCGATGTATCATGGTTGAATTGATGCTTTCTCAGAAGTCCAGTGGACTCCTTACAATGACACCTTACACTGAATGTGGTTTACGTTCAGTGCTGGTGTCCCCCCCAGCGATGCACGTAACCCAATGAAACAGGTGTGTCAGAGGGCAGTCAACCCATCCACTGTTAGCAAAGAGCTCAAGCTACCATCTGGCTCCTCCGTCATTCCCCCCCTCCATGTCTCGTCTGCTTTCCTCTATCACCTTCAGGTCCCATCTGTTGCTTCTTCATCTTCGTCTCCACTATCCGTTCCTCTCTAAGACACCTGAGCTGACTGTGCTGATTTGTAACATAATCCTTATATCTGATACAGAGCCTGCAACTTAGCAAGATCTCAGACATGCTTGCTCTCATGTGTAGTGATTGTGTAATTTGTAGGCAAACGTGGCAGCCATTTTGCCCAGGGCAAGGTCCCGCAAACAGCCATGAAGTCACTGACAATTTTAATCAGGTTTCATTGTTGGCCAGGACACCGGAGAAACTCTTTTCTCTTTTCCAATGCAACAGGAGCAACTACCTGCATTTGTACAGCACCCCTCACTGGAACAGCAGCTCGGAGAGCTTCACAATGTTGGCCTTGGACAACAAGCGGGGAGAAAAGAGAGGTTGACCGTGTGTGTGTCACTTTCTCCTCTCACACACGAGTGTCTGTCACTCTCTCGCCTCACCCACCTGCTGGAGTCTTTCTCTCAGCTTCCTCTTCTGCTGCTCCCAGTCTCTCCGCTCCCTCTCGAAGCTCTCCAGCAGCTCCAGCCTGTGCCGCTGGCAGTTCCTGTGGCAGGGCTGCAGCTGCCAGTGAGGCTCGCTCGCCATGCTAGAACCCTCCGCCAGCCTCTGCTGAGCCTCCTGCTCACTCTGCAGTGCCTCGCTCCCATCCTCATAGCCCAGATTCCCGTCCTGCTTCCCGGTTTGCTCTTCGAATTCCTGCCGACCAAGACAAACACAATCATTAGAAACCAAGGTGATCAATAATAAATACTTCCATAAAGTTACATAAAGTGAATCAGGCCATTCAGCTCAATGAGTCCCTGCTTCCCTTTCCTTTCCCCCTCATGTGCATTGAGTTTCAGCACCCTCTGTGTCAAGAAGCTCTACCATTGACTGTCTTACAGTTACACCCTTTGGTTTTACACTCACGTAGTTCACCAACTCTGTCACTCTGATATAGGAACTCGCACCTGGTGTATGGCTGTCACTGTGTGTGTGGCTGTCACTGTGTGTATGGCTGTCACTGTGTGTATTGTGGTCACTGTGTATATGGTGCTGGCTGTGTCTGGCACGCGCTGTGTTTGCTGCTCGTTCGCCATGTGCTCAGTTACCTGTAGGAGAAGACATTTCTGCTGGGGTCTCTGTGTCTCCCAGGCAGGTCTCTCACTGCGGGTCTGCTCCTCATCCCTGAGCTCGACGTGAAACTCCTCTAGGACAGACTGCAGAGCTGACAAGACCCTCCGATTCTCCCTAGCCTGCGGGGAGCGACTTGATTTAGACTTAACAGTGGGAGCAGAGCGAGGCGAGGCCGAGACCCCAACAGCACAGAGTCAGCCCTGTGATGATGGAGGACTGGAGAAATTTCTTGTTATTCAGTCTTCATTGAACTGAAACACTGTGTGTGTTGGCCTGGCTCAGAATGTAGTGCTCTCTTCTCTGGGTCAGAAGGTTGTGAGTTCAAGGCCCCAGATCGCAGTGTCGGACACATCAGTAACAGTGACAGTGTGTCAGACACACCGATATCACAGTGCTCCCAGCCTCACAAATGGAAACAGTCATGTTCATGACTGAGCAATGCCACAACTCAGTCTCTCTCCGTTTATCGGATATAGCTCTGTCTGCTAAAACTATACTGGCAAGAGACTGCATTTGAACTGATAGCTGGGCCTTGGGAGGAGGTGTAGGAGGGGAGGCGAGGAGGAGAAGAGATTTTGATCCCCTCCCAGACTTATGTTTGAGGACATGATGGGGTGGGGGCGGGGAATTGGGAGCCAACAGTGGAACAAACAGAAGGATGGAGGAAAGGGACAGACAGATGGACTCATGGACAGACAGAAGGATGGTTGGATCAAAGGACGGAACGGAGGGATGGATTGACTGGCGAACTGACAGACGGGAACACAGCGAGAGAACTTCCTTTTCCCCCAAAAAGGGAGCGAGGGAGATTGTCTCTCATTTGAGCCATGTTGCAGCTGCTGTCAGTGTAACAGCTGAAGACATGGCTGAAGGCTGACTCCAGCAGAATGCTATCGCTGCTGGTTTGGGAGGGGCAGATCCAGAGTTTGAGCGCCATCTCACAATAAGAAGTTAGTTATACTTTCACTGCTCAATAACTGAGACACCTCAGTCTCTTTCTCTTTCCCTCCACACTGAGATCAGCAGTAAAAACGTTCCTCCTGGACTAGATTTATACCTGGCTACTTACAAAGACGGACACCCCCACCCCCACCGGTATACACAGACACACACAGATATACATACACAGAAACACACATAGATATACACAGACACACACATAAATGTACAGACACACACAGACATAGATATACAGACAGACACACACACATAGACACACATACATACACACACACACACACAGGTATACACACACATACTCACACTCACTCTCACTCTTCCACACACAGACACATTCACTCACACAACCCTCAATACCACAATCGTATCCATTATATTGTTTAAACAAGGTCAAATTCACTCCACAAAGCGGGGTTGAGCCCCCACCTGTTTCTGTTGCTGAAGCAGCTCCTCGGTCTGCAGCTGTGGTCCATGTCCAGGGCTCTCGGGAGAGAACTGGGAGCATTCTGACAGCTCACAGCCCCCCGCCTCGGCCTCGCCAGCCACCAGCTCCTTCTGTTTGAGCAGCAGACTCAGCTCGGGCAGGCTGTCGATCTGTTCAAACTAAAAACACCTCCCATGTAACATGCTCCCCCCGTAAAACAAACACAAGACCCCTCCCCATACGACAGACACAAACCCCCAAATGCAACAAACACGGCCTCCCGTGTACAAGAAACGTAGTCCCCCACGTAAAACAAACACCCCCGCATACAATAAACAAACCCCTCCCCTCCTGAGTTCAACAAATGCCACCTCATGTGTACAAGAAACAAATGCCGCTCCCTCCCTGCCTATATTAAACAAACAATAACCCCCTGTGTAACGCTTCCCCCAAGAGAACAACCCAGGCAAAACACACAGCCAGTGCAAAACACGAAGACCACGTTAAATTCACAGCTCGTGTAAAACACACAGTCCGTGTAGAACACCAGCCCATGTAGAACACCCAAGTAAAACACACAGCATGCTTTATACACGCTGCCTGCATAATATACACATCCCTCGTAAAGCGCATGCGGATTTCACCAACAATTCTGCAATTGTTCAGCAACAATCACCAACAATTCTGCAATATCGTAACAAATGGATGCTTAGTGTTGGTGTAAAGCCCTCCAGGATGCTACTGGGGTGAAGGACGCTATATAAATGCAAGTTGTTGTTGTTGGTGGTCTAAAGTTCACAAGCGTGCATATATAGTGTGAGCCCAGTATAAGTGCATGGCGGTAGACAGTGCCATTGGGCACTATCTGAGCTGAGTGTTAGTGCTACACTCCATCCTCTGTGGTGTCTTCACCAAATGCTGCATCCATACCCTCCTGAACGTGCTGGCACAAACCACCCACCCAGGGTGGACTCGCTGTGGCTCTGGCAGCACACCTTCAGGTAATCTGATACATCGACTGCTGCTGGGCATCATTAACATCATCATCATTGCCACTCGAACAGCCCTACACTGCGCGGCTCAGAGACTCAGATCAGCCGCAAGAACAACAACATTTGTATAGCGCCTTTCACATCGGGAGAACGTCCCAAGGCGCTGAAAGTGAAGAAGCGCCGTCTCTGTGCCAATGGGAGCTTGGAACAGGCAAGACACATGTGGAGGGAACTGTCTTTCTTTTGTCTCAAATTTTCTTTCATTCCAACCACACCTTCACCCAAAAAATACTCATGGTATTGTCTGTCATTCACAGTAACTCTACAGTAAATCCTGCAAAGCGTTTTGAGACGTCTTCTTGATGTGACAGGTGCTATCCCGAAGGTAAGGGTTAGAGACCTGAGTTCAATTCCAGACAGGGCGAAACCTTGGGCAAGTTTCCTTACTTCACACGCCTAGTAATAATCCCTCAAAAAAACAAAACAATAATAAATTGGTCATTTTCAATCCACGACTGTTTGTGGGACATTGCTGTGTGCAATTGGCTGCTGCGTTCGCCCACAAATATACAGTCAATTCACTTTACAGTATATTCTGTAAAGCGCTTTGGGACGTCTAGAAGACGTGAAAAGCGCTATATCAAATGCAAGGATTATTATTATTATTTGTTCTTTATTTATCTGATGGCTACAGCAGTTTGCGGGAAGGTTAAGGTGGTATTAAAAGTTTGGCCTACCTCCAGTCTATCCTCCCCACCGCAGTCTAGTTCCTTGCCTTGCTTCCAGCGTGTGAGTAGCCACTGCAGCTTGACATAGAGTAGGATGGAGTTGTGCTCGAACATCTTCACCTCCTGAGCCAGAAGGCTCCTCTCGTGACTCCATGACTTCTGCTCCAGGCGATTCTGCAGGTTCAGGCTCTGTACCTCAAAGTCCTTCCTTAGCAACCTCTTCTGGCTCTCCTCTTCCATCTGTGATCAAAACCACACAACACACCCTACAATTACCAGCTCCAAAAACTGTTGAAGACTATACAGTACATGTATGTGCGTGTGTGTATGTACACTTCTATCTACGCGTGTGCATCTGCCTATGTGTGCATTCGGCTGTTTGCGCTTGCGCCTGTTTGGATGTGTGCGGCGCATCTACGTGTATCCATGTGTGTATGCTTCCGTCTGCGTGTGTCCTTGTGCGCATGTGTATTTGCGTCTTCGCGTGTATATGTGTTATGTGTGTGACTGTATATGTGGTATGCATGTGTCTGTGTATTTGTGTTGTGTCTGTGTATTTGTGTTGTGTATCAGCCTGGCTCTGTTGGTTGAGTTCTGACCTCCTCCTCCTCCTCCTGCACAGATCTTCTTCGTCAAAGTTGCTTGACAAAATTGCCAGCGCCCACCCACCTCGATAAGCTTGGTGGTGAATTTCTCCTTCTCCTCCTCCCGAAGCCGCCTTTCTTGTTTCAGGCAGAGTTGAAGTTCATGAACTGATGTGCTGCTCGATTCTGGTAAAAGATGGGATTCCCTGAGCTGTGTTCGAGGCAGAGGGGCAGGGTTTAGTCAGAGGTGTTCAATACAATCACCCCAATCCCTGGGTTACATGCCAAGCATTTACAATCCTGATAAGAGTATTATCAACAGTAGTGATAAATCATCTTGTTTGATCAAACACTAATCATGTTGAAATTGCTGTTAAGTGTGGTGACTGTGTGTCTTGTAGGCGAGCACGGTGACCCAATTTTGGCACAATGTGTCTCCAACAGAGAATGACCTGAGTGGAGTCAGAGAGGTTTGTCTTCTGACCTGGAGGCGACAGTGCTAGCGACTGATAACAAGACCGCTGTTATAAGGCCCACCCACCCACATGCTGAGACGAGTTAAAATATAAAGCTAAGGCCAGGCCGCTAACAATGAACCATTTATAATTACAACAATAATGATAATCCTTGTGTTTGATGCAGCATTTTTCATGCCGGGAGGGCATCTCAAAGTACGTCACAAGATATACTATAGAACCAAAGAAATGCACAACACAGAAGGAGGTTTTTCGACCCATTGTGGTCTATGCCGGCTCAGTGCCCTTTCCCCCACACCCTTGTAGTTTACGTCTGTGAAGTGTAATGGCTGCATACTTTTGAATAATACCAATCCTTACATTGGATGCATTTTTTGAGAGGGAACTGGATAGGTATCTGGAGAAGACAGGTTTGCAGGGTTATGCAGAGAAAGCTGGTGAGTGGGGTTAATAAAAATCAGTTGCTCTGTCAAAGAGCAGGCACAGACTCGATGGGCCGAATGGCCTCCTTCTGTGGCGTAACATTCTATGATTCTATGATATAGTGCCCTTCACATTGTTCAGACGTCTCAAAGCACATCAGACGATACACTGCGGATTTTGTGGGTGTAACGTGGCAGCCAGTTGCGCACAGCAATTTCCACAGATAGCCATAGAGTGAACAACCAATTTTAACCAGGGGATTATTGGTCAGGATACCAGGAGAAACCTCCCTTCTCTTTTCGAATAGTTGATCTGAACAGGCAGACGGGGCCTTGGTCTAACGTCTCTTTGTGCAGGCTTGTCTACGCAAACTCCCTGCTCACCGGACTCCCCAGCTCTTCCTTCTGCAAGTTGCAGATTATCCAGCACTCTACAGTTCATCTCCTCTTCTGTACCAAGCTCTGTGAACCTATCAACCCCATTCAGTGCCTTGGGACATTCTCTTGACTTGAAAGGCGCTATACAAATGTAATTTTGCATTGTATTGTATCCTCACCCGGCTCCGTTGGCTCCCCATTCCTCAGAGGATCAACTTTAAGATCCTCGTCCTCACTTTTAATGCCCTCCGAGACTCTGCGACCTCTAACACTATTCCAATCTGTCTGCACCCTCCATTCAGCGGGTACTGGCTTGCTCTATGTCCACCTCCCAGCCTCCCCACGCCCATTGCCCATCAGGTTTTCAGCTATTCTGCCCTAACCCTCTGAAACCCCATCACAGAGCCCCTCCGCCTCACCCTCTCCCTCGCCTCCTTCAATGCCCATCTCAAGACCTTCCTCTTTGACCGTACCTTCAACCGCACCTGCACTCCCCTCCACCCCTCTTGATTCCGAATCCCCAGCTCGGGTGCAAACCCTTAACTGTCTAGCGCCTTGGGAAGTCCTTCCATTGTGAAAGGCACTATATGAATGTAGTTTGTGGATTGTTGTTGTTGTCTCATCCGAAAGATGGGATGCAGGCGAACGTCTGCATTCTGTTAAGGCGATGGACTCCAGTTTTACCTCTGTACCGAAACAGTCCTGGTTTTCCGGCCTGTAGCCTTTGTAGCCTCCATCGGCTTTCCGGCTGGGGTCTGTTGAGCTTCCGGTTTGATGGGCTTCCCGGTCGTGCCCATCCTCGGGGATGGGCTGCCAGTCGGGCTGATCCCTCAGTTTAGACTGTTGAGTGCATGGGCGGTTTGAACGAAAACAACAAAAGGACAAGGGGGGAGGGAAATAAAGAAAACAAAAAAATGGGTATAGGCAGACGACTAAAAAACTACAAGACAAAGAAAAGCGTGAAAAGAAAAACCAACTTAAACACAGTGGCATAAGAAAGTGATGAAAACAGAACCAAAATGAGAATGAGCAAAATGATGGGCTGAAACATCTGAAAAGAAAAAAGAGAAAGAGAAGGGGAAAAAGAATGCAAACACTGGTTATGAGGGCGCATGCAATGGAGGATGCGTGAACCAAGCCAACAGTCAAGCGGTCGGGTCATGGGAGGGTTTGGTTGCGGAGAAGAACCCCCACCCTCCACCACTACTCCCCTCCCGGGCTGATGGACTGTGCCGGGCAGTGTGGCTTATGCTGTTTTGTTGGTCAAGGTCCAGCACCATTTGTAAACTGTGTGTGGGTGGGGTGGGGGGGAAGAGAGAGGAAGTTGGAGCTGGTGGAGGTGACAACGCTTTCATTGTCGACCCACGCACTTCCTGTTCTTCCTGAAGACTTGTGTAAAGGAGCTAGAGAGCCATCTGTCCATGTCAGCTCATGGGTTCCCTGCCTCCTCCCCTCCCCAGTGGGACCGCATAGATCACAGCCAATGGGTTTACTCGCACATTCTCGGGATTTCTCCGTGAGATTCCGCGGTGTACCACTGGAACCCTGGCCTAGAACACTCCCAAATGAGGAATCCTACAGGAATTCTGCTCCGAAAGTGGGTCCCGTCAGAGAAGAGCTCTGTCTACTGGAGGGATTTCCCATTAGAGTAGCTCAGATCCTTTGTTACAGAATCCTTTCCTCCCCTTTATAAGACGGGCCACTGATCTTGTGGTTGAGGTAGTTTTATGCTGGCCCCAGCAGAGCCCGAGGGCTCACATCACCAACTACTGCTCAGCTGATGACAGAACACCTCTCGCTGTCCCAGCCTTCACTCAAGGTGCTGGCTTCTGGCACTCAGGGCTCATGACCCTACTGGCCTCAAGTGATGAGGCTCCACACACGAGGATGGCCAGTGAGGTCACCAGGTCAAATTGAACGTGGGCTCGAGCACCTGACTGTGACCTCACTGGATCTCCACGTTCAAACATTTTGCCGCCAAGGGAGGGAGGGTTAATGGTTAGTTGTCTTAGGGGAGGCATCATCGCTGCTTTACCCATCCTCCCCCCTCAGTCTTACATCCACTCCCTTCATCCTCTCCCAACACTCCTGCCACTGCACGGAACGATCATCCAATCTGGGATCTTCCAAGACAAGGCGAGTGGGAGTGAGGGAAAGGGAGAGAAATTCCATCTGCCTTTAGGATTCCACTATTTTACTTGAGCTTTTTTTAAGAGCGTGGAAAATTTGGAAAATCAATATTTCCTCTGGTGTGGGAATCCAGAACAGGGGGCATAATCTTAAAATTCGAGCTAGGCTATTTAGGAGCAAAATCAGGAGGCAGTTTTTCCACCCAAAGGATAGTGGAAATCTGGAACTCTCTCCCCAAAAAGGCTGTGAATGCTGGATCCATTCACATCTTCAAGACTGAGGTGGATAGTTATTTATTAGATCAGGATATTAAGGGATACGGGTCAAGGGGGGTAAATGACTTGAGGTACAGATCAGCTATGATTTTATAGACTGGTGAAACAGGCTCAAGGGGCTGAATGAATTTTATTTGGAGGCTTGATGATTAGAGCACAGGGAGAAACCCCTTCTCTTTTCGAATCGTGCCACAGGGTTCTTTAACCTCCACCTGAAGAGGACAAGACCTCGGTTTAACGTCACATCTGCAGGATGGCATCTCTGACAATGCCGTGTTCCCCTAGCAATGGACTAAAGTGTCAGCCTAGACTGTACGAGTTCAAAGTCCCGACTGTGGGGCTTGCCTCAGAGGAGAGAGTGCTACCAACTGAGCCAGGCTGACACCTTCTGCAAATACTGCAAGCTAAGGAAATAGTGAAAGTTTCACTGGTGATAGACCCTGGTGGAATGTCTGCCCGTGAGTCTGCAAGTCTTGGTTCTCAAACACGGACCATTTGAACACTGAGCCATCAGAGAACTAATTTTGTTTTCAGCCATGGGGTCAACATTAACCGCTCATGAACAATGTTCCTGAGAGACCAACAGGAAGAAATCTTCCAAATGAGTCAAGCTGACCTGCATAGGTTCACCCTTTCTTCCCTCTGCCCCACCACCCCCACCATCACCACAACCCTCCCCTCCTCCAAACCACAATGTTTTACTACGATTCCTTCTGCTAGTAGGATTTTTTTTAAAATTCAAATAACCTCAAATTCCAGATCCTTTATCCTGAACCCTGTGTCCGGTTGTTCCCAAACAAATCTACTTTCTCAGCTTTTCTCATGTGCATGTGTGTGTTTGTGAGTGTATGTATGAGGGTGTGAGTGAGTGTATGTGAGTGTATGTATGTAGGTGTGCGTATGTGTATGTGAGTGAGTGTATGTATGTATGCGCGTGTGTGTGAGAGAGTGAGTGTTTGTATGTATGTATGAGTGAATGTATCTGTGTGTGTGTGTGAGCGAGTGAAAGTTTCACTGGTGATAGACCCTGGCATATGGGTATGCGTAAATGTGTGTGGTGAGGGATGGAGGGAGGGAGGGAGGGAGGGAAGGGGAGAACTTTTGAAAAGACGAATATTTTAAAGCTCGAAGCTTCAAGTCGAAGCCCGGGCAATTTAGTAAAGTAAATGGCCGTTTTTGTTTTATTTTAAGTGCGGTTTGGTTTATGCATAAGAAGCCTCGAGTTTCAGTGTTAATTAGCTTCAGAGCAGCAGCAGCAGGAGCAGCAATAGTGGCGACAGCAATAGTGGCAAATAGCAGCAAGAGCAGCAAATAGCAGCAGCAGCAATAGTTGCGACAGCAGCAACAGTAACAGCAACAGCAACAGCGGCAGCAGCTGGTGGTCTCTAAGCAGATTACCGGCTGCTTACCTGGAAGTCAGTGATGAGCTCCTTCCCCAGAGTGCCTATGGGTGAGTCTCGGGACATGGAGGTGACGGAGGAGAGGAAGCTGGGCGACTCGGTCAGGTTGGGCATGGGCGACAGATCGTCTATTTGTTCCCGCAGCCCCTCCCCCAGGTGGTCCACCTTCTCCATGAAGCAGCGCAGCTCCGAGCGGAAAGCCTTCATCCTGCTGTTGATGGAGTCCAGGAGCTCAGGCTCGTTGTCGCTCCCGACGCTGTCCTGCTCCAGGGCCCTCTGCAGGGCCAGCAGCCGGGCATCGTAGATCAGGCTGTCGGTGTCTGTGATCAGCCTTTCCACGGTGCGACCCAACCGCTCCGCCTCCCGCTTGATGCTCACCAGAGACTCCGAGTCCTCCCGTTTGCGCAACAGCTCGGCCGAGCACGTGTCGCTGGAGTCCGAAGGCTTCCCGCTGCTCCCCAGGCCCGACGTCTTCTCGAATATCTCCTCCGAGTCGCTCTCTCCTCCCACCGGACCCTCTCGTTTCGGGTGAGGTGGTGGCGGAGGGGGAGGGGATGGGGGAGTGTGTGGGGTGTGGAGGTGGCCTGACTCCACACCCTCCTCCAACCCCTCCTCCTCCTCCCCCACTCCCACCTCTCCGCCACACCCGCCTCCCCCACCCTCGCTCTCCTTCCTGCCCTCGGGGCTCTCGGCCTCCCCGGTGTCCCGGCCTCCAGCCCCGCGTGGCCCCAGGTTTGAGGCCAGGTCGTAGCGCTGCACGTTGGAGATGAGGACCCTGTTTTCGTACTGTAGCTTCATGACTTTGCCACTCAGCTCGTTAACCTGCAGCCTGGCCGCCTTCAACTCCTCCTGTAGCGACCCGTTGGCCTTGAGCCCCCCTCCCCCATCTTCCCGCCAGCCCACCTCAGGACCCCCACCCTCTCCGCACTTGAAGCGGTCCAGCTCGCTGGACAGCTGCTTGTTGTGCTCCTCGACCTCCCCGATCGACCGCCGTAGCAGCTCGGCCTCCTCCTCCACGAACTGCAGGTGTCGCCGCAGCTCCCCGCAGGACTCCAGGGACTCGGCGTAGGGCGAGGCGGGCAGGCTGGAGGGCAGTTCCCGGCTCTGCAGGTCCCTCTCGTACTGGCACCTCACGTCCTCCATCTCCGCCTTCAGCCCCCTGTTCTCCACCTCCAGCTCCACGATCTTACGGCCCAGGATGTTGGCTTCCTCCTCCACCAGCTTGAGACGCAGCTTGAGCTCGGCCTCTCGTGTGCTGGGGGGGCCCCCCGCCTCGCCGGTGGGCAGGGGGCTGTCCACGTCGCCGTAGATGGACCTGTACTTCTGCAGCTCGTGATCCAGATCGTCTTTCTCCCTCCCCAACTTGGCCATTTTCTTCCGCATCAGGGACCCTTCCTCCTTTGCAAACTGCAGCTGGCATTTGAGGTCAGCGTTGTCTTCCTGCCATGCAACGGAGAGACATTTAGTAATAATAATCCTTGTATTTGATATAGCTCCTTATCAGGCCATTGAGACATCTCAAAGTGCTTCACAGCTTTAACCGATTGAACCTCTCGTTGATCGTGTGTGTTTGTGTGGGTATGTGGGACGGGAGACACAGAGGCCAATTTTAGCCCTGGTAAAGTAGCACAGACTGAGGTTCAAAGCTGGAAGCTCACTATTAAAGATTTTCAAACAATGTACAGCACGGAAATGGGCCACTCGGCCCAACCGGTCCGTGTTGGTGCTTATAATCCATATGAGGCATTTACCTTTACTCCCTCCAAACCTTTCTATTTCCCACTGCCTCATCTAGCTTCCCCTTGAATGCATCGATAGATGGAGAGATCAGTATTCTTTTCAATTACCCCACTCTCTTCCCCCACACTCTCAGACAAGTGTCTTTGAGTTCCTTTGTTGCTTTCTTTTTAGAGATTTTTTTTAGTTTAAATAATGTCTTTTTACTTCATTCTGAGAAGTAATCTACCGTGTCTAACCTGATGGCTCCCACCAAATGAGTAAGCCCAGCGATGACACAGACGGAGAGAGACACACACATAGCAATCTTCTCTCTGAACTGCTGACACTTCCTGGCAGGAGTTTGCAAAAGGCCGGGCTGTGGTCACACTTCGCTGCCCTCACACAGTCCAATCTTCAGTTTTACATTATCCTTACATTACACTGTGTCTCTCCCTCCTTTTGTTAAGCCACAGCAAACTGCACACTTAGCTGTGCGGATAGCATAAGCCTTCCAAACACCACCCAGAGCAGATTAGTAACAAAACAATGTGTCCCCACTGATAAAAACTTCCAGCGCCTCAAGCCTTTCTTTAGTTACTGATGGGCGCTCTTTCAACCCAAGACTGCATGCCCTGTGGCTGGATGAAGCTGGCATCATACCTAGAGTGTTGGCATCCACTTGTCTGTGCTCCCTTCGCCCCTCCCCTATTAAAGTAACTCCAGAGAGCAGGGCTCTCCTTACCTGAGTAGCACTCTTCTTGTCTTTGTGAAGTTCTCGGCTCCCTCTTCTCTTCAAAGAGCTCTGAAAGACCACAGAAAAACCAAAGAGCATCACTTAAAACAAAAAAAAACCCTCAACAGATTACGTCAGCCTTTGACGCCAAGTAAACCAAACTCGCAATCCATTAGCTCCGCTGTGTCCAGTGCTGGGCGCTTTTGTTCATGAATAGGACCGGATTCCATCACCCAACAATGGCGGGTTAATCCTCACCACATTACCGCAGCCTTTTAGCCACATATCAAGAATGATATTCACGCCGGGAAACTCTCTGAGCACAAGGAGCCCTTCACAGCTCTGCCCGTGACACGTCTGTCAAAAGGTTTTGAGCTCAATGCTGCGGTTTGAACAGTCTGGAGTGCTTCTTCAGTCTGGCTGCGGAGAGGCCAATAATAAGGCCACAATGCTCAGACGACCTTTGTGTCGAGTCCACTCATTCTTCACCAGGCAGCCTCTCCTGTGCCAGCCACTACTATGTCTGTCTTTCTCCTCTCACTGCTTTCTCTTGCCCTGAATTCATTTCACTCTCCCTTTTTTCCTTCTCTGTCTTTTTCACTCTGTGTTGCTCTCTGTGTTTCTTTTTCACCCTCCTTTTTTCTTTCTCTCTTTCAGAACTTTTAATCATTCTAACAAGGAATATTTCTTGGATCGGGTCATAGCTTTGTTAGAAATTACAGCACAGATAGCGCTCATTCATTCTATCAAGTCTCTGCTTGACTGGAGCAATGAACTCAAATCCCAATACTCTGCGGCATTTTATGTTGTTCCTGTTTAAACATTTACCCAATTCCCTGTTAAATGTTATAATTCAATTGGCATGTGCAGCAAAGCATTCAATGTTTGGATAAACGCTCTGTGAGAAAAAGAAAAAAATGTGAAAAGAGAAGGCAGTTTCTTCCACTATCCTGGCCAACAATCCTCCTGTCATTCACCTCATGGATGTTTGTGGGAAAATAATAATAATGATCCTTGGATTTGATATAGTGCTTTAGTGACATTTTGAAATGTCTGAAAGCACAGGATTTACTGTGCAAATAACCTTTGTGTTTACCTTAAGCAAGTCACTGCATGTGCTAGTAATTGCGTTTCAGCCTGGCTTACTTGGAAGTGCTCACGCCTCTGAGTGAGAAGGATGTGGGTTCAAGCAACTCATATAGTGTAGGCTCAGACTCCAACGCAGTGCTGGGGGTGTGTTGCATTGCCGTGCTTCGAATGAGATAATAAACTGACGTCTGCCTATTCAGATGGATGTTAAAGATCCCACTGTACTGTTTGAAAAAAGAAGGGAAGCTTGCCAGAAAGTGCTCTGCGGTTTCCGCTAGTTAAACTCTGGGAGTACCCCGCTATGAGTACCCAAAGCACATTCTGGGTCCCCCCAAGTCTTGGTCCTTGCCAATCTGGCCTGATGCTCTCCGGAATTAGTTAAGCAGGGCGCGTACCTCCGGGGAAAGCGTGGGAATTCCATTCCAGACGTGGAAATTTCCATGTGATGGGTGGCATGCAGATTGCAGCCTGCCAATTTTCACGGGTTTCCATATGTATCAGACACCTAGATGACCAAGGAGATACCCACCCTTCACTGAGGCTTAAATAGGCTACGTTCAATTGTCTTCATTATCCTGTGCTGGAAATGAGATCTCGACTTTCCACAGTTTCTCAGTTAACAGGAATACTGCTTCCCTCTCCACAGCGAGCTCCAGCAGTGCTCTGTCTGATCACAATGATTTAGGATCCTCCAAGGATCCTTGACCTCTTTCCATTCGCGGTCAGGGTTTTCTCTCTCCCCGGGCCCCAGAAGCATCAAAACCAACAAAGGTCCTTGCTCAGCTGCTTCCTTTCTTTGAAGGAGTGAACAACAACAATAATAATACTTTAATACTCATCACACTATAACAACAACAATAATCCCTATATTTTGATATGCAGTAAAACTCACATAAATCATATCAGTCAGTGTGCGTACGTGGATGGGTGAGTACGTAATTTCCGTGATTCAATGCAGCCGGTAATTGTGAGAGTAATGGAAGGTAGGGGAGCTGCAAGTTAGGAGGTGATTAATAAGATTAGTGTGAAGAAATCTAAGTGGTTTTGATAGGAAACTGAATACGACTCGGGTAAATGTATGACTTAGGTGATGGGATCTTTATTTATAAATAAATAAAATAAATAAATGTTATTTATACAATGGGATCTTTATTTACAAAGATAAGACTTATGCGAGTTTTACTATAGTGCCTTTCACGCCAGGAGGATGTCTCAAAGTGCTTCACTGCATTTACTATGATTTGCAGTGACTGTATTTTGTAAGTGAATGCGACAGCCCATTTGCGGCCAGCAACGTCCCAAAACAGCCACGAGGCGAAAGACCAATGTTTTTCTGAGGGATCAAAAGGTAGGATAGCAGGAGTTAACGGTTACTGGGTGCAAGGCTTTCCTCAGCGTGCCACACAGAGACAATGACGCCAGCAAACTCTGAAATGTTTAGACTTGTACAGCTTGTCGTGACGAATCGAAATAGATAGGTATAGATTGGAAGTAAATATTTAGGGCTCTTGATTTTTTTTAAGCAGAACTCTTTACGGGCCCTGTTAGTCAGTGTTTTGGACCCGAGCTGGGGGTCGGGATTGAGGAGGGTGGAGGGCGGGGGGGGAGCACGGTGATCGAAAGCATGGTTGAAGAGGAAGGACTTGAGATGGGTCTTGAAGGAGGCAAGGGAGGGGGGGCGAGGCGGAGGGACTGAGGGATGGAATTCCAGAGGGTAGGGGCAGAGTGGCAGTAGGTCCGCCTGCCAATAGTGGGGTGGGCAAGGTGGGGGACATGAAGCAGGCTGGAGCCCGCTGAGCGGAGGAAGCAGGCAGGATGGTAGGGGGGTTAGGAGGTTCCAGAGGTAGGGGGGAATAAGGCCATGGAAGGCTTTGAAGGTGAGGACCAGGATCTTGAACTGTATCCTCTGAGTGATGGGAAGCCAATGGGGTCGGGCAAAGATGAGGATGATCGGGTCACTGAGCCTGGTTCAGGAGAGGACACAGGCTGCAGAGTTCTGGATGATCTGCAGCACAGCAGTGTCCCACAAACAGTTGTGGATTGAGTGTTTTTTTGAAGGTTATATATAAACGGTTAAATATATTAAAAGTCAAAACAGTCATCATGAGAAGTTTCATCCTCACAGATGGAGGCCATAATTCCGCAGGGAGGAGGTCAAGGTCACAGCCCGGAATGATGCTAGGCGCTCACGTTGCCAGAGAGAGTGTGGGAGCTAAGCACTGTTAGCCTGAGCTGGGAGAAGTAAGGCCACATTCCTCGCGGCTGTGTGATCGTTAATGAGCGTAGGAGGCAACCTTACCCAGCACAGTCAATTCCACTCACCCCGCACCCCCCCACTCATTCTTTTCATTAGATCTTCACAGTGCTTCATTTCAGAAAAACGCCCACTCCCTCCATCAGCCTCTCTATAGTCTATGTAGTTTTGCCCACAAATTACACAGCCAATCCACTTTACAATATATTCTGTGAAGCGCTTTGTGACGTCTGAACGATGTGATAAGGCGCTATATCAAATGCAAGGATTATTATTATTATTATAGTAAGCCCATCTCATTCCTCCCTCTCCCGTTTGCTACAGAAACTCTCCCAACTTGTGGTTACTTTTGGACGGATGGTGAAGAAAGCGTGTTTTTCTAGCACGCTTATCAAGAACATAGGTCTCGAAGTGCTTCATCGTAACTCCTGACAATAACAACAACTGGCATTTATGTGAACCATAAATGTCTGGATGGGATTTTCAACAAGGCACCGGGCTGAAGCATCAGCCCAGGTTCTATGATCACATCCCAGCATGAAGCTCACCACCAGATTCGCCCACAAATATACAGTCAATTCACTTTACAGTGTGTTCTGTGAAGCGCTTTGGGACGTCCTCCCGACGTGAAAAGCGCTATATCAAATGCAAGGATTATTATTATTATTATTATTATTAAACCATTATGTTCCTGGAAAGCGGAATTATCACAACTCCCCGGTAAATCCCAGGGCACTCCCTGAAGCGGCCTTCATCTCAATCAAGTTATCTACCATAAACACTCATTTCATCGAATGAAAGCCAGGAGCTCAACACGGGAGTCGTTGTATTCTAGCATGTGTTAGGCCCATCTGTAATTTATAGATACATTGAGTCATTGCATTGCTTCACGTCTGGCTTATCAGTGAGTGATGGAGGGGTTTGCTGTGTCATTAACTTCGTCTGACAGTGAGAGCCATAAACAATGGCACTTGCAGGAGATACTGTACAATTCATCAAGACTATAGCAGAGGGAAGGAGGCAACTTATCTCTGCCCACATCCAAAGTTGCAGTATATCAAGGCAGGCTCTACAGAGGCCACTGTAATCTTGATTTCAAGATCCTCATTCTTGTCTACAAATCCCTTCACGCCCTAGCACCTCCCTACCTCTCTGACCTGCTTATTCCCCATTCCACCACCTGCTGCCTCCACTTGACTGGCTCCACCCTCCTCTTGTCCCTCGTGCCCTGCGCTCCACCATCAGCGTCTATGCTTTCAGCCACTACGACCTGAAACTTTGGAAATCTCTCCCTCAACCCCTCTGCCTTGTCCCCCAGTTCCCCAGCCTGTGAGAAACAGAGTACTGTGGTCCTGCCTGGCTCAGGAACGAGACTACTGCCACCGCCACAGAGGGTTGGCTTGATTCCGATATCCCATTTCCAGGTGCATCACCTTGGAACCATTTCAGCCCCAAAAAGAATCCACTTACTTCACCCCTAGCCCCCAAAAAGAATGTGGGACAGAAAAGAACATTTTAACACGGACACAGGAGTGATATGGAAGCACCACACATTCCAGGTTGCTCTGTTCTGGCTCTTGTTCGATCAGCCGAGATGAACTCTGCTCCTCCAGCCATCCGATGCAAATGGGTCATAACAAGAGACCTGAGGCCCGAAAATCCTCGTGGATTTTCCTTTACAATTTGAGAATGGGGCCCGACTGTGGGAAACACAATAAATCCAGTC